TTAACCTCTTAGTACTGTTCAATTTTCTCTCATTTGAATTTTAATGGAAACATTTATTTGACTAAATTCACTGGTTCCTTCTGTTTGTGCTGAATCATAAAAGAAAATTATAATTAAGCAGAGTGTGTATATTTTTAAACTTGTTGTAATTTTTAAAAATAATTTCAAGCTTACAGAAAAAGTTGGAAGGATAGTACAAAGATCTTTCATTTCCTGAACCAGTTGAGAGTAAGTTGCCAACATGATGCTCTATAGTTTCAGGGTATTTTCCCACCTAGCCACAACACAACCATCAAAATTAGGAAATTAACATTGATACAGTATTTCCAAGTAATCCACAGAACCCATTCACATTTCATAAACTGTCTCAATGATATTCTTTATAGCAAAAGGATCCAGTCCAGGATCACTTGCTATACTTATGTTTCCAACCTTTATACAGTTTCTCAGTCTCTCCTAGACTCTCATGCTTGAGACTTCTGAAGATGAGAGATCGGTTCTTTTGTAGAATGTCCCTCCATGTGCCTGAAGCTTCTTCATGATTGGCTACAGGTTATGCATTTTTGGCAACAACATCACAGAAGCGATGATGTGTTCTGTTGCATACTATCAGGTGATACACAATTTCCATTTGACCCATTACCGTAATGTTAATGTTGATCACTACAGTAAGGTGCTGTCTGCCAGGTTTCTCCACTGTAAAGCTAACTTTCCTTGTATAATTAAGTATGTTGCGGGGAGGTACTTTAAGTCAATAACCTGTTTCCTAATTAGACTATCACTCACTGGTTTCAGGATCTGTGGTAGGCTGACTAATGGCCTCCCAAAATATATCCCCCAGGTCAATTCCCAGACATTGCACCTCATGAGCAGCCACCACCCATCCGTCAGTGGAGGCTTGCCTGCTGTTATAAATGAACACGTTTCAGTGGCACTTCCAGACTAAGACAAAGTAGGAAGAAAAGACCTGGCGATCTATTTCCAAAAATGAGTCAATAAAAACCCTATGAATCACAATGGCCCGACTGGGAACCCATCATGGAGGCGGCACAGCACCAGGAAGCACTTTGTTCTCATGGGCATGCAGTTGCCATGAGTTGGGGGCCAACTAGATGGCACCTAACAACGACAAAAAGATTCTATGTCCTAACCCTTGGAACCTGTGAATGTTACTTTATATGGCAAGAAAGGATTTTGCAATGTGATGAGACCAAGGATCCTGAAATAGGGAGATTATCCTGGATATCAGGGTGGGCCCTAAATGCAATCACATGTATCCTTATAAGAGGGAGAAAGAGAAAGATCTGACAAACAGAAGAGGAGAAAGCAATGTGATCACACGGGCAGAGGTTAGAGTGATGTAGTCAAGGAATGCCGGGGCCACGAGCCAAGGAATGGTGGCAGTCGCCAAAAATTGTAAGAGGCAAGGGATGGATTCCCCCGTGGCCCCGCCTACACACTGATTTCAGCCCAGTAAAACTGATTTCAAACTTCTGGCCTCCAAAACTGTAAGAGATTAAATTTCTGCTGTTTTAACTACCAAATCTGAGGTAATATGTAACAGCAGCCATAAAAACCCATTGCTGTTGAGTCAACTTGGACTCATATCAACCCTGTAAGACAGAGTAGAACTGTCCCATAGGATTGCCAATGAGCTGCTGATGGATTCAAATTGCTGATTCTTTGGTTAGCAGCCAAGCTTTTAATCACTGCGCCACCAGGGCTCCATAGCAGCCACAGGAGACTAATATAGCATCCATTAATGTTTCCTGCATAAATTATTATTATGATGGTTCCCAAAGAAGATTTTCTAATGCCATCAGTGCTTCTACATTTGTTAAGATGTCATACTATTATTAAAAAAAAAAAGAAAGCTTTCTATTCTACGTATTCATTTATTCAGTATGGATTTATGGATTCCTTTTTATTCAGTAGATTGTAATCTGCTGCTGTCATTTATTTTGATTTTTAAATTGTCCTAGATTTGGCAAGTGGAAAACCCTGTGAGCTGGTTTCTCTCTCCTTTTGACATGCTCCTATCACCCCTGAACACTTCCTTTTCGTTTTTCAATTTTTTTGTGTTAAATACATACAACAAAATTTGCTGTTTTAATCATTTTTAAAGTACTTTTCAGTGGCATTAATTTCATTCACAATGTTGTGCAACCATTGCCACTACCTAGTTCCAGAACCTTTTCATCACGCCAAAAGGAAACCTCATACCAATTAAGCAGTCACCCCTCATTTCCCTCTCCCCCCTGCCGATGGTAAACTCCAATCTATTTTCTGTCTCTATTCTAGATATTCAATATAAATGGAATCACGCAATATTTGTCCTTTTGTGTCTGGTGTATTTCACTTAGCAGTATTTTCAAGGTTTATCTACGCTGTAGAATGTATCAGAACTTCACTCCTTTTTATGGCTGAACAATATTTTATTGCCACATTTTGTTTATCCATTCATCTGTTGATGGACACTTGGTTTGTTTCCACCCTTTGGCTACTGGGAATAATGCTGCTATGAACACTGGCAAAAAATATGTTTGAGTCTCTGCTTTAAAATCTTTTGGGTATATAACTAGGAATGGAACTGCTGGGTCATAAGGTAATTCTATGTTTAACCTTCTGAGGAACTGCTAAACTGTTTTCCATAGGGGCAACATTTTACATTCCCACCAGCAATGCAACCATCATCTTTGTCAACACTTGTTATTGTCTGGGTTTTATCTGTTTGTTCTTTATTCTAGCCATCCCAGTAGGTGTGAAGTGGTGTATCATCATGGTTTTGATTTGCCATTTTCCTAATGACTAATGATGTTAACCATCTTTTCATGTGCTTATTGGCCATTTTACATCTTCTTTAGAGAAATGTCTATTCAAGTCCTTTGTCCATTTAATTGGGCTGTATGTCTTTTTGTCATTGAGTTGTAGGAGTTCTTTATATATTCTGAATATTGACCTTTATCAGATACGTGGATTTGCAAATATTTTCTCCCATCACTTCCGTACTTTCCCGCTCAATAAGATATTCTAGGCTCATCTTATAATTTCCAAGCCTGTAATAAAACATCTACAAAGAGCCCTGGTTCCTTTTTTTAAAAAAAATAATATTTTATTGTGTTTTCAGGGAAAGTTTACACAGCAAATTGGGTTCCCATCTGACAATTTCTACACAAACTGTTCAGTGACATTAGTTACATTTAGCCCTGGTTCCTTTTAATGTAAAATGGCATTCAATAATCAAGATCTGGGTACTTAGTGGGCTCATGACTATTGGGGTGCTGCTGTTCCAAAGCCCTCTCAGTGGACAGAGCTGGAAAATACACACAGACACACACAGACACACACACAGACACACTCTCTCTTATATATGTATACACATTTACAGAGCCCTGGTGGCATAGTGGTTAACAGCTCAGCTGCTAACCAAAAAGTCAGCAGTTCGAATCCACTAGCCACTCCTTGGAAACTCTATGAGGTAGTTAGTTCTACTCTGTCCTCGAGGATCACTCCGAGTTGGAATCGACTCCACAGCGACGCGTTTGGTTTTTCGGTTGGTTATACACATACATGAACTAAACGTATATATCCATATTTCTATCTCTCTCTTTATGTACTAAAAACTTTTAGTTCACTCTGATCTACAATTCCAATCCAATATCACAGATTTCTCCCTTGGGTGGCTCCCATTATCCTCAATATATTTATTTATTAGATTAATTCCCCGTACATAACCAATCTCCTGTCACCACCCCTCCTCCTTCCCACCACCCACGTGGACACCCTCCTCACAATACCCAGGTCCAGGCCACTATAAACAAACACTGTCATCTCCCCACGTGGTTCTGACATATCATGCTGGGCTGCCACCACTTCCTGCACAGACTGCTTGGACTTCCTCCCCACCCCACTCAGTCTTCAATGACCTGCTGCTGTCTCTCCCCTTACCCTCAAGATGCGCTTTTCATGCTCAGGATCTAAAAGCCGTACGGACACCTCCTCACCCTTCTCAGACTCTGACAAGCCATACTGGACTGCAACCACACACATCCCACGATGTTCTCCTTACCTGCTGGTTCACCAACACCCTGTGCCAGACCACAAGGATGCCCTCCTCACCCTGCTTGGGCTGACAACCTGTGCCAGTCTGCTGCCGTCCCTACACAAGCCCCTTCCTCATCCCACCCGGGCTCCTCAGCACCCTCACCTAGCTGCCACCACTCTCTTCCATCTGCACAGACACTCTCCTCATCTCTCCTAGGCTATGACAGTTGGCCCTAGGCCACTACCACCCACAAAGGAATAAAAGTGCTGTTCACCCTTGTATCTCTAACACGTGGCACCTTGTAAGTACTCAACATACTCTCTATTGGCTGAATAAAATACTTACTATGGAAGATACCAGGAGCCCTGGTGGTGTAGTGGTTAAAGTGCTCGGCTGCTAAGCAAAAGGCTGGCAGTTTGAACCTACCAGCTACTCCGTGGGAGAAAGATGGGTGGTCTGCTTCCATAAAGATTTACAGCCTTGGAAACTCTATGGGCCAGTTCTGCTCTGTCCTATCAGGTCGTTACGAGTAGACTGTAGTGGGTTTGGGTTTGGTTTTTAATGGAAGATTCAAAATTGCAAAAAAAGGAGGCAGCGTTACCTAATTAATTATGTAGTCTTTTTTGTGCTAATAAAGACCCCTTTCCATTATAAGGGGTCCGTTTGGGAGAGAATGCTAAAAACTGTGCTTCTGAAGAAATTTAAAAAATAAGAGTTTGGCATTTTGCTTTGATCTCCTACTCTGAAATTTCCAATCTGTTTCCCTACTTCCCCCGCTTGGTGCCACCTTTTAGTCACCTGAGTTCAGAACTGAATAGCTGTAAAGTCTAAGCTGCAAATTCATCATTGCCTTCTTGATTCCTAACAGAATTCTGGCATCTAATGAACTTCTCTTTTCAAAAATTAGAGTCCCTGTTCTACAACACAACAAAATACAAGAAAACACGCCACATACCTTCCATCTTTCAGCATGTTCACAATAAATCGGTTAATCTGGCAAATACAGTTGCTGGACAATTGTTCTTCCTCAACAAGAGAGTTCAGTTGTGTTGCCAACATGAAAGCTGAAAAGCACAGAGATTATTTTGAGCCTCCAACACATTCAGTCATAAGGATCTGAAAGCCAATCACACCTGTGCTAGCAAAGAAAAACGCCTTCAGTATGTTCTTGAAATTAAAACTAGCCAGACTCTGCATAGTGAAAAACAGTGTAATTTGCTGTTCATTAAACATCTGCTGCTATTCTTAAATGTATTTCTTAAAGTGCCCAAACGCATCTTTTCCATCAGTCAGATCTCATGCCAAAGACTAAAAAAATATTTCTAACGTCCTACACGTTATGACTAGATAGCAAGCACACATTCCTTCTGCAAATTCTTTCCTTTCTCCCTTTTAAAGCATCCAACACAGTAATAAAACCCCAAAAAGGCAAGTACAGGGAAGGCTAACCCATCACATTCACTAAATGTCAATATCATCCCAAGGGAAATTAATCAAAGAAAACATAGAGCACCAGTTAGAGAAAATTAATTAAGCCAAGTGGCAGCTTTCCCACTCGATCCAGTCTATTGTCAGAATGCTCTCTGCCAGCAGCAATTCTGCCTGAATGAACTGCAAAGCCAAGCAAACATAAGACTTCTGGAATACACCAAATTATTGTAATTCAAAGAGTTGGGTGTGCTTTTATCATTTAAATATTCACAAATCCCTAGACTCATACATCATACTCACAGGATAGAGTGTTCACTCCATCACTCATCAGCAGTCGATAACGGGGTGGACTATTCCCTGTAGTAATGGGACGGATGTTCTAGGACAGAAAATTTGATTCATTAGACAGGTGGTCTGCCAAGTCCCCAGGGATAAGTAAACCCAAGTGGCAGGAGAGTGGGTCTGCCATTAGTTCAACACAAACTGAACTGATTGCCCATTCTCTTGACACGTAAATCCAAGTAAAAGAAATTTGGATTTGATAATTCTTCCATGTAACCTCTCTCAACTAACACTAAGCACATCAGAATAAAATCAGGGGCCAACAACTCATTTGTTCTCTCTCCCCTAATTCAAATTTGATTGAAAATCTTTCTAAAATACATAATACAATAAGGCACCTATTACATGCAAGGTACTGGGCAAGAGATGCTAAAAATACAAAGTGAACTACAAAATCCTTGCCCCAAAGGGACTTACAGTCAGGGTGGGGATGAAGACAGAGAGGCATGACAGAGGCGTGCACATGATATGGGGGCACCAAGCCAAGACATTTATCCCACCTTGAATGCAATCAGAGGCGGCTTTTTAAAAGAAAATACTTAAAATTTAAGATGACTGGTAGCTAGCTTGGGAATAGCAGGGAGATCATCAGGCCTACTGACTCAGAATCTCTGAAAGTAAGATCCAGGATTCTGCTTTTACCGTTTTTTTTTTTGTTTTTTTTTTTAAGTTCCCAATGAAGTTTGAGAACCCCCTTAAATGAATGACAGGGTTAACGAAGAATTTTAAGCAGAGAAGTTCATTTTAGATTTCTCTCTCTGGAGGTGGTAAATAAGGCAGATTTGAGAAACACAAACCTAAGGGCAGGAAGGCAAGTTATATGGTGACTCTAGTGATGGCAGTTTTGCCACAGCAGCTATCAACCGGGAAAAGAAAAAAGAGGCAAAGCCTTAAATCTGAACCCCCAAAGGTCTAACTCTGGCTAACATGACATTTAAAAAAAAAAAAAAAAGTCTGGCTCCCTCTCAGGGCTACAATGTAGACTGGACTTTTTCTGTGACAATAGGAAGAATTTCCTGAAGCAGACAAATCCGTATGTCCTTCATCAAAACGTAATTTATAATTATATCTAAGTTTAAAAAATGTCTGACGTAAAATACATGCAGGTACTCACGATGACTTGGAGGACAGGTTTTATGGACATATCTCCCTGTTGCATTATGGCCTGAAAGAGTAAAAATAGATTCTTGTGAGATATGCACTCAAACAGACCTCCCAATGTATCCTCTTTTGTACATTCTGAATTTTAAGTCTCATCACTCTCTTAGCAACTATAAATTTTTTACAAATAAAGTAACTGTCAATCAGACTTTTAGTTTGTTTTTAAAAAGCCACCATTTGGAGGTAACCATCAGAAAAACTGGGGGGCAGTGGTGCTTCAGTGGTAGAATTTCCACCTTCCATGTGGGAGACCAGGGTTCAATTCCAGGCCAATGCACAGCAATGGCCACCACCTATTTGTCAGCAGAAGATTTTGTGTTGCTATGATGCTGAACAGGTTTCAGCAGAGAGGTCAGACTAAGATAGACTAGGAAGAAAGACCTGCTGATCTACTTCCCAAAATCAGCCAATGAAAACCCTATGGATCACAATGGTCTGATCCACAACCAATCATGGATGGCACAGAACTGGGCAGCATTTTGTTCCATTGTGCACGGGGTCGCCATGAGTTGGGGCCAACTTGACAGCAGTTAACAACAAAACGACTACCAGAAAAACTAAAAAATAATAGCAGTTAAAACTGATTGTCTGATTTTTGCTTCTTGCCATGGTGAAATAAATGACACCAGACTAGCCCTTCCAACCATACTAACAAATTGGGCAAAAACATATAAACCATTTTCAAATACCATACAACATTAGAGAAAGACTGTAATCCCTGAAACGGAAATAAATGAGGTGAGCCCTACAACAGTCCAGGTTCTCTGCAGAGACACCTTTTGGACTGTAGTTCAGGGAGGGGAGCCCAAGCAGAACATGGTGGTCCTGCTGTTCTGAGGACACAGATCAGAGTTCAGGGAGGTGAGTGTCTATATTTTGCGGCTGCAGATTACCAGAGAGGAGGGAAATACATAGAGAACAAGCTCCAATAATCTACACAGGGGTTACCTTGAGCCTCGGCTAAATAATAAGTTTTACATACACAACTTAGAATGAGACTCCAGAAGACCAGGCAAAAAACAAGTCTCAAGGAGCTAGAAGCTGACCAATTACCAGAGTGCACACAGAGCTGGTATACATCTAAGTTTCAACCAGCTGCAGTGGAGAGAACTCAATGAACATGTGATGCACTCAGAAGACACTCCAGAAAGGTCATGCCTTAGGAGTAGGACTAAACTAGCCCTTAAGTAAAAGCTAATCTAGACCCACTCCAGTCTCAAAAGGATCATGCTGATCCTGCAAGTAAATTAAGAACCTGCTAGAACAGCTCAAAACTTTTTAAAGAAATACACATAGTCCAGACACTCAATAATGTAACATTCACAATATCTATCATCTAATAAAAAATTACTAGACATACTAAAACCTTGGAATAGCAGTTCTCAAACTGCAGTCTGAGGACTCCTATGGGGCCCAAGAGTCTTTCAGAGAGTCCATAAATTCAAAACTATTTTCATCATAGTAACAAGCCTTTGCTCTTTTCTCATTCATTCAATGCAATAAAAAATTGGCTGAAAGACTAATAAAATCATGTTCTGTTAACACTGTTGAATGTCTGCTAGATGAAAAGTCAGTAAAATTAGAAATCGCAGCACTGCCACTTTCCAATATTAAGCAAGTTGTTGAATTTAAGAACTAGATACATCATGAAGGGAAGTTGATAGCTCATCAGCAGAATTCTACTTTTGCATTACAAATAGATGAATCTATAGACATGGCTGGACTTGCTGTTTCATTTGTATTCATCTGGTATCAGCACCAACAAACCATCGAATAACATCATCTTTTATGTGAATGCTTGACCACAAACAAATTACCCTGAAATACTCAAAGTGTTGAAATGACTTTCTGAAATTCTTGGTTTATCCTGGAACAGCTGCGCTGACACTGCACAATGATGGTGTAAAACCATGGCAGGTAAGACTACTAGTGCCTTAGCACAGCGACTACACTAATATTGTATTCTTCACACCTTGAACTTGTGGGGGGTGGGGTGGGAGAGTTTTGCTTCAGAATGTCCTTAATGCAGCAGTAAAAATTATTTATTAATTTTTTTAATGTTCTGTGTAACAATGCAAAAAGTATGCAAAAAGTATTTCTGCTGCATACTGAAGTATGGTTGTTGTCTCAAGGAAACACATGTGCAACTGTTTGAGTTGTAAGCTGAACTATCCACTTTTATCACGGAACTCCATTTTTACTCAAAAGAACAAATGACAAACTACGGTTATTCAAATTTGGGAATTTAGCAGGTATTTTCTTAAAAATAACAGAGTGAGCCTGTTTTCAAGGAAAATAATTGACGAGATTTGTTGCCAATGACAAAATTAAAGTTTTCAAGTGAAAATCAGAACTTTGGAAAACATATTCACCACCATAAGCTTTACAGCTTCTCAATACTTAAAAACTTTTCTGATGAAACTAGTAGTGATAGTAATTAACATGTTTTTTTATATTATAAAATTAAATATGCCAACATTTGGAAGATCTGCATAACTCAGTGAGCCAATATTTTCCAAATGACCAATCCATGTTACAAATCATTCATAGGTAAAAGAGCCATTCAAAATACAAGACAGAAAAATATCACAAATCATCATGAATAAATTATTAAATACAGCGTTCAAGAGGATTTGCGTTAGGACGAAGCAAGTAAGTCTGAGTTTTTGTAGTGCAGAGTTGAATTCTGTCCCTATTTGAATTCTTGATATTTTTCTATTAAGGAGTTTTTGTATTAATTCTGATTTAAAAAAATATTACATTGTAATATTATTTTGATTACTGATTTGGTGACTCCTTATATTTTGTACCTGGGTCAAAATTTACTACTCTTGACCCTGTTACCAGATGTTTCTATCTAAATAAAAATGTTTCTACTCTTTTAAAAAAAAGCAAGGTAGACCAATTCTACATTCCAACTAACCTGTAAGAAACTACCATTTGTTGAGTTTTGGTATAGTATTAAAGAAGCATATCCACAGTTATCTGAAAAGGTTATTATTAAAATATTCCTCCCTTTCATAACTACCTATCTGTATGAGGCCAGAATTCCTTCATATACTTCAACCAAAACAACATACAGCAATAGCCTGAATGCAGCAGCAGATAATAAAATCTAGTTGTCATGTCTCCTATTATGCTAGATATTAAAGAGATAAGCAAAAATGGAAAAAACACGACTTTTCTATTTTTTACTTTGAAAAATAGTTTTTAATAAAATGTTATTTATATTAAAAAGTAATGTGCTCATTGTTATTTTAAATGAATAAGTATTTTTAAAATATCTCAGTTATAATTTCAAATATGGGGAGGTAGATATAACCCACAAAAACAAAAGCTCTTGTATGTGGGGTCGTCAATGAGTAAAGCCATCCCAAGAGCAAAACAGGTGAGAATCACTGCCCTACAGCAATCATAAAAAAAACTAAAGCAAAGAGGACAGCTAATAAGTTAAGAATGGAGATAAACTTGAAACATGAAAAATACTCAAATAATCCAAATCAAGGCAGGGAAAGCAAAAAAAGGAAAAAAAAAAACAGGACAAATAGAGAACAGACAGCAAGATGAAAAACTTAAACTTAAATATATCAATAATTATATTAACTGTAAATACTTCAAGCACTCCAATTAAAAGGCAGAAACTGTCAGACCGAATACCAAAAAAGGAAAACAAAACAAAAAACAAACCCTGTTGTTGTCAAGTAGATTCCAACTCATGGCGACCCCATGTGTTAGAGCAGAACTGCTCCATAGGATTTTCTTGGCTGTAATCTTTATGGAAGTAGATCACCAGATCTGTGCCACCGATGGGTGGGTTTGAAAACACCAACCTTTAGGTTAGTAGCCGAGAATAAACCATTTACACCACCTAGGAACCATCAGAATGAGTAAGACCAAACTATCTGACTATTTGCTGTCTATGGAGCCCTGGTGGCATGGTGGGTAAGAGCTCAGGCTGCTAACCAAGAGGTCGCAGTTCAAATCCACCAGCTGCTCCTTGGAAATCCTATGGGGCAGCTCTACCCTGGCCTATAGGGTCATTACACATCGCAATCTACTTGATAGCAACAAGTTTTGGGTTTTTTTTTTTTTTTTTGGTTTTTATTTGCTGTCTACAAGACATGTAAAATATTGGAAAAAGGTAAATTAACATCAGACAAAACAGACTTCAGGTCAAGGGATGGTACCACAGATAAAAAGGGACATTTCACAGTAATGATATGGGATATAAAGTCAAAAAAGATTTCTGACCTGTAATAAAATAAATGGCTGAACTAACGCTAGCGCTAAAAGTTCAGCGTGTAACGTTTCATACAGGCTCAAACTGTTGCTTAAGAACCAACCTTATTACTAAGGTTTTGTGGTTAACTGTGAATCAGTGACCAAACCTTACCGAAAACTCAGTTAGACCTCTCCAAAAAATCGTATGCTCTGTACAAGGTAATGTTTAACAACCTGTTGGGCCATCTTCACGCCATTGTTTATGACCGGTCATGAGAGCCCCTCCATGAAACACATCTTGTAATTATGTCTTTTAGCCAGTCAATGTATGTTAGTTGTATTTAACATAACCAATAATGTTAAAGGCCACATTTTACCTTGTCCCACCTCTGACTGACCTCCATCACTGGAAACCAATCAGAATACTATGTGTATAGTTCTTCATACAGCAGTATAACTACGGTTGATTTGTATCCCTCCCTTTGGAATCCATGAACTTCAGACCCTGACGTTTTCACAATTCCCTCATTTGAATGATATACTGACTTCAATAAATCTCTTTGATTTTTCTTTGAGTTAGACAGTCTTTTCTCTACAACAATAAAAGGGTTAATTCCTGAAGAAGACAGAACAATGTTAAATTTGCGCACCTAGCAATAGTTTCAAAATACACGAAGAAAAAAACTAACAGAATTGAAAGGAGAAACAGACAAATTCACAGTTGTAACTGGTGATTTCAACATTGTTCTCTCTCAGTAATTGATATGGCACATTGGCAAAAAAATAAGTAAAAATATAGGAGACTTGAAACCATCAACCAACTTGACCTAATTAGATCATTTAACAACTGTAAAATACACATTTTTTAAGTGCACCTGAAACATCTGTCAAGCTTACCATGTGCCTGTAATGCAGTGAGTCTCAATAAATGTCAAAGGACTGAAATCATACAGTGTACATTCTTTGATCACACAGGAATTAAACTGGAAATCAATAACATGTTATCTAGAACTCTCCCCAATATTTGGAAATTAAACAACACACTTCTAAATAACTCATCTGTTAAAGAAGAAATCACAAGGGAAATTAGGAAGTATTATTAACCAAATGAAAACAAAAACACAATATCAAAATTTATAGGCTGTAGCTAAAACAATGCTTGGAGGGAAAATTATAGCTTTAAATGCTTATATTAGCAAAGAAGGTCTAAAATCAATGATCTAAGTTTCCACTATAAAAAGCCAGAAAAAGAACAAATTAAACCCAAGAATGAAAAGGGAGGAAATAATAAGAGAAACTCAATGAAACAGAAAATGAGTAAGCAATAGGGGTGGAAAAAATTGAACCAAAAGCTGGTTCTTTGAAAATATCAATAAAATGGATAAACCTCTACCTAGTCTGGTATTCTCTGATATTCTTAGAATTCTCTGATGCTGATATTCTCAAAATCAGAAATGAAAAAGGAAGAACCACTATGTTGAGTTGTTAGGTGTCAACAAGTCGGTTGCCGTTGGCGCGGCGACAACTGCCAGAGCGGCGAAGACAGTAACCAATGCCACAACTCTTACAGAGAAGTGGGGCCAAGGAGGGTCACTGTGAGGAGTCGACCCCCACTTCAGTCCCAGGAGTTTATTTATAGTCAATACAGCAAGCAGTGAAGCAAATCACAGAACAATGGGCTTTAGGTGAATAACAAGAAGTTTCGGGCAAGAAAGAATGGGTTTCAAGCAAACAAGTCAATTAGTAAAGAACAGTAGGTTTTGGAAAAACAAGTGGTGCCTAATCTCTTTCTCATCGAGGACATGTTTCACCGTGTTCTGCGCATGGGCGTTTGAGAGGCTGAAGTTGGCCATAGTGCAGCCATGTTTAAATGGCACATATCCCCACAGGTTGCAATTCATCATGACTCCATGTACAACAGAACTATAAATCATGTACACATATATAGAAAATAATAATGAAATATTATAAACAACTTCATGAAACAAGTTAGATAAAATGGACAAATCCTTGAAAAACACAAATTATCAAAACTTACCAAAAAAAAAAAGAAAACCCACAGAAAATCTAAAGAGCTCTATATCTACTAAAGAAATTCAATTCTTAATATTCCAACACAGAAAATTCTAGGCCTCGTGGCTGTACTGGTGAAATCTATCTAACATTTAAGGTAAAAATATACCAATTTTGCAAAAATTATTTCAGGACACAGAAAAGAACACTTTCCAACTCATTTTATGATGCCAGGTTTACAACTGAATATTTGCATGGCTGCTAACCAAAAGGCCGGCAGTTCGAATCCACCAGTTGGCTCCTTGGAAACCCTATGGGCAGTTCTACTCTGTCCTACAGGGTAGCTAAGAGTTGGAATCTACTCGATGGCACCTAACAACAACATACATTAAAAAAAAATTAAACTTGAAATGACTCAAACGGATCATATTATTTCCTTCTATTTATGTAAAGTTTTAAAACAGTCAAAACTAACCTACAGTGTGATAGAAACCAGAATACCTGGAGTGGGAGGATGGGGAAAGGAACAGTAGGAAACTATGTGCATCGATGGAAATGTTCTATATCTTGATTAGGGTGTTGGTTACCGGGGTGTACACATTTGTTAAAACAAATCAAACTGTACACTTAAAATCAGTGCATTTTATTTTAAGTAAATTAAACTTTAATAAAAACAAACAAAAAAACCCGTTGCTGTTGAGTTGATTCCGACATAAGGACCCTAGAGGACAGAGAAGAATTGCTCCGCAGGGTTTCCAAGGAGCAGCTGGTGGATTTGAACTGTCGACTTTTGGTTAGCAGCTGAGCTCTTAACTACTGCACCACCAGGGCTCCAAACTTTAATAAAGGTGATTAAAAAAAAAAAGCAGTTGTTTTTGGGAACAGAACTGGGGCTAGGTGGGACAGAAGACTGATAATATCCTCAAATGCCTTTCTGCGTTTAAGATCTATTTGATCTTAAAACCATGTACATGTATTACTTTTTTTTTTTTCAATTTAAAAATGTCATCACAAATACTGAATTTGAGGTTTACTCTTTTGGGACATATAGCATCATGCATACACCTAAAATTGCTTTAAATTTTCCAAATTAACAATACAAATTATTATAATTGTATAGTAAAAAATACAAGGCAAGAGTTATTGCTTAACGGGTACAGAGTTTCTGTTTTGCGTGATGACGTTTTAGAAATAGATGGTGGTGGTGGCTGCCCAACATTATGAATGTAATTAATGCCACCGAATTGTACACTTAAAAACGGTTAAAATGGCAAATCTTATGTTATACATATTTTACCACAATAATTAAAAACCATGCCAAAAATGTAATAGTGAAGGGCACATGAATTCAGATCCCCACTCTACAGACAAGTGATTTAATGTCTCTGCACTTTCAACATTTATTCTCCTGTAAAATGAGAGTAATGATAAAAATCTACCTTACAGCTTAATAAAAGTACTGATTATTATGTGCAAAGTATCTGGCACATTGGAAAGCAAAAATATTAGTTCCTTCCCCTTTCTTTCTATAATCCAATTATTTAACATACAAATGCCATTTATTCCATTTACCACAGTAGTTCCATGCATAATCTTCTATTTTATGATGTCTTGCTCAAAAAGCCTCTATTTGTGTGCTGTTTTCTTATTCTTTTGGGCCTGTGTCTTTTGCACTAAAATGATACTACTTGTTTTAGCTGATAATCAGAGTTGACAAAGGTTCACTACACACACTGCCAGGATACAGACACACACACACGCACAAATTTTCTTTTTCATTTGAGTAAAACTCAAGTAATAGTTTACCCAACACCGGAAATATGTTTCTAAAATTTTGAATACAGGGAAAAATTACTCAGCAAATTTAAATTATCCCATGATCACTCCTTTTAAAAGTGAAGAACCATTTCTAATTTTCTTTAAGGTGGAAGGTAGCAACTATAAAGTGAATGAGGACTACAATCTGCACTTTTCAGGTCTCAGCATTCATGCATCCCCAATTTAAGCAAATATTTACTGGACTCCATCTACTGCTCTTCCCCTTCCTGTTTTCCCCTAAGCTCCCTTTCCTCCCCATCCATCACTATCCCTTTGTTTTCACTGCCTAATGCATTCAGGGAGCCCTGGTGGCACAGTGGTTAAGAGCTTGGCTGCTAACCAAAAAGACTGGCAGTTTGAATCCACCAGCTGCTCCTTGGAAACCCTATGAGGCAGTTCTACTTTGTGCTATAGGGCCACTATGAGTCAACTGACTCGATGGCAACGGGTTTGGTTTTGGTTAATGCATTCACACATTAGCAAACACTGGGCACAGTATCCCCAGTACCTAGAGCAGCACTGGCAATTTTATGTTGAGCAGAAAAGCAAACATGATTACTGGCCTCCTGGAATTTACAATCCGGTCGGAGAGTCAAAAAGTGACTGATATTAATCAAACAACAAACGAATGTAAAATTACATCAGTGATTATAAAAAATAGGTAACATCAGAAAAGGAGGGTAAGAATGATTGCACAACTCAAAGAATGTAATCAATGTCACTAAATCGTATATGTAGAAACTGCTGAATTGTTTTATGTTTTACTGTGTATACTCTCAACAACAAAAAAAATAAAAGTAACATGTATTGAGCATTTACTATGTATCAGGCATTGAGTTAAACACTTTAAATATAATAACTCAGTTAATCCTCCCACTTATGCAATACACACTTGGTATCATTACTTGCGTTTCAAAGAACAGGAAAAGAGGCAGAGGACGTTTAGTATCTTGCCCAAAGTTACACAGGTGGTAAGCAAAGGAACAGGGATGAGGTTCTCAAAATTTAGTCTAGCAAGGGAAGTTAAAGAAGGCTTCCCTCAGGAAGTCCCAACTGAGCTGGGATTTGAAGATGATGTTAGCTAGTGAAAGGGAGAGTGAAGAACCACTCAGGCAAAAGGCAGACGAAAAAGCATGTTCAAAGGTCTTATGGAAGGCAAGAGTATGGACATGTTGAATTTGAGATGCCTTTGAGATAACAAGTAGACAGATTATAGAGGCTTGTTCTCAACGTAAAGGCAACTCGGGACAAGGAAACGTGTGCGAAATTGACACATAGATGGTTATGAGGTTGCCTTGGGAGAAGAGGGCCTAGACCAGAGCCACGAGTCAACAAAGTTTACAAAAGACCCGTCAAGCTGCCCTACAGGGGCCAAAAGAAGAGTGTAACCACAACGAAGCGATGCTCGACAGACTTTAACGTTGCTGAGAACTCAGGTAAGTTGAAAACTGAAAAGTATCTGTTGGATTTAACTACTTGGAAACCACTGGTAACTTCAGCCAAAGGTATTTCTATAACGATCGGGGGATGATGGATTGGAGCGGGTTAATAAGTTAATGCGAAATGAGTAAATAAAATAGCTAAAAACAACTCTGCAGAAGTTTGGCTGTGATGCGGGCAAGGAAGGAGACAGTAGCAGGTTCAGGGAAATGGGGGAGGGGCGTTAAGAGTTTACTTTTTGTTTTAAGTAGGAAAAACGTGACCATGTTTAAAAGACGATGGAAAAAATCCTTCGAGGAGCGAGTGATGGACCATACAAGAGAGACACCTCGGCGGTTCCCCACCGCCCCTCGCAATCCACTTCCCTCGAGTTCTCCCCCCACCGCCCCTAGCTCCTCTCCCCTTCTCCACTCCGCACATCTCCAGAATCTCCGCCCCCAGGGCCCATAGCCACCCCGTCCCGCCCGCCCGGCTCCCAGGCGGCTGCTCACCGCAATGGCCCCCTCGCTCAGCTGGCTGACCATGGCTCCGCCGCGTTAACTCCCGCGCTGTAGCTGCTCCGTAGCCCCAACGCTACTCCCGGGGGTCCCGTGCGCTCCTAAGCGATTGGCCCGCGGAGTAGCGCGCGCCACTCCGCCTCTCGACGTGCGTGCGGCGCCGGGGCGGGCCCAAGAGCCAAGTAGCAACTGCATTGGCTGAGACGCGGCGGACGGCCCACGTGACCCGCCAAAGGGAGTTTGGGATCTAGTCGCGGGATGGCTGGGCCTGGGGGCGGGGCGCAGAGCCGAAGGGCGGGCAAAGGCTTTCCCCGACTCAGCTAAGGGCGCTAATGGCCCAGTTCCGGGAACTCACCGAACCGGCTGTCGAGAGCGTATCTAGCGCGGTTCTTAGAGGGAGACAGACTGACAGCCCAGAAAAGAGTTAGAGCTGTTCCTTGGGAACTCTGCTGCTACATATAGGCAAAGCAGCGACTTGGTTCCTTGAACAATCCAGTGCCGAACGCCTGCTGGTGCCAGTCCCTGAGCTTGGCACTGTGGGGGCCTCTGAAGGTAAATAAGACCCAGCTCCCGCCCTCAGATGAGAGTACACTCTATCGGTAGAGTATCCATTGTGAGTAGTCCAAACTAAAAGTAGGTATGCACGGGCTCTAGAACAGACACAAAATGTACTGGAATCACAGGTGGAAGATCAGGGGAAGGCTTCCAGGAGGAGGTGCCATATGAACTGAATCTGGAAGGATGTGTGGGAGTTTGCCAGGTGTGAGGATAGGGTGTTCCTGGCGGAATGAATAAGCTATGCAAAAATTTTGTAGAGACGAAATAGCCTGGCAAACTGGGGGACAAGAGGTAGCTGTGAGTAGTTCAGTATGGTAGGGTACCGAGGAAGAAGTTCACCTGAGAATTAGAAAGGAAGCTAAGGGTAGAATAATGAAGGGTTGATACTGGTCTTCCCTATGTGCTAGGAAGAGCATTGATGAATTTAAGGCAGAGGACTGACATCTGTCTCAATGTGGAGGATGGATTGAAGTGGGGAGAAACTGAGGACAAGGAGACTAGATATGACACTGGAAAGATTGTCAGACAAGAGATGTTGAGGGTCTGAACTGAGAGAATGACCTGTGAGTTGAAGGAGAAAACTGAACCATGTAAGAGAGAGAAATGCTTGTTAACTGAATAGTTGCTGGGATGAGTGAAAAAGAAAAATCTGGTGTCTCCCAGATTTCCGACTTGAACAACTAGATAGAGCTTCCAAGAGGACAGTGATGGTAGCTATCTAATCTGATTCATCATTGTGTGTCCATCACCTAGCATGGTACCTGGAACATAGTAGGCTTTCAATTAATATTGAGTGAGTTGGTGTGAGAAAATATAGATCCTTCCTCAGACTGTAGTTATAAAACAACAACAACCTGTTGCTGTCAGGTCGATTCCGACTCATAGCGACCGTATAGGCCCCATTGGGTTTCCAAGGAGCATCTGGTGGATTCAAACTGCCAACATCTTGGTTAGCAGCAGAGCTCTTTACCACTGCACCACCAAGACAAGAAAACATCCATGTAAACAAATATAGAAAAAGACCCAGAGAATTGATTTTGTTGCTTTACCCTTGCTGGAATAAAATCTTGATTTTCTGGCATTGTGCATTTATAGAAATCTGATTCCTTATTATTCATTTTACAGATCTAAAGTAGCATGGATCTACCTGTGGATGAGTGGAAAGCATACGTACTCAGGAAATGGTCTTTGCTTCCAACGCCCATTCAGGACACAATTTCTGCAGCAGAGACTTTGAGTGATATCTTCCTTCACTGCTCTTCGCTTTTTCAGTAAGTGACTAGAAGTGATCTGGAAATTTTTCTCTTTTTTGTTTGCTTTGAACTAATATCTCTTTTTGTGGGAAGGTTAATTTCAGATTTTTCTATTTTGGGGGCATTCAACAGTTCTCCTTCCTGTTTCCACAGTCTTTTCTAACCCACAGTCATACAATAGGTAAGGATGACTATTTAGCTTGCTTGGTGTCAGTGTTATTATTTCAATAACTCATTGCCTTGCTATAGTCACTAGGCTGTGAACCTTGCCATCTCCCAGAGGATATGGTGGAGATTTACTAACTGCACATGAAAATTTATAAGTTCTCAAATTTGGAAAGGACCTTACAGGTGTTATAGTTTAACTCCAGCAATTTTCAAACTCTCTCTTTTGACTACACCTTCAGTAAGAAATATATTTTACATCACAATCTACTACACACATACATATGTAGAAAACTGAAACAGAAGTTTCCTGAAACTTAATTCATTCCATAAATATTTATTGATCATCTATGTTGTGCAAGGCATGGTGCTGGATGCTCAGAATACACCAGTGAACAAAATAGACAAAGATCCTTACCTTTGAGGAGCTTCATTCTAACAAGGAAGGACAGATAATAAACATCACAAAGTATATAGTATGTTAAAAGTAATAAATATAGTAAGGGGGGAAAAAAAAGTGGAACAGGGTAGGAGAAATAGGCGGTGCCAGGAGCAAGAGTGCAAGAGGTAGTGTTAAATAGGATGGTCAGGGTATGCCTCGTTGAAAAAGTGAAACTTGCGGAAAGATTGGAGGTAAGGAGTCAACCAAGTAGGTAGCTAAGAGAAGAGCTTTTCAGGTAGAGACTGGAGCAAAGGCCCTGCATTGGGAATATGTCTGGCCCATTCAAAGAACAGCAAGGAGGCTGATGTGGATGAACAGAGTAAGCCAGAGGGAGAGTAATAGGAAATAAGATTAGAGATACAATGGGGCAGGCATGGGAGTTGGGGGAGAGCAGATGGCACAGATCATGTATGCCCTTGTAAGGGCCTTGTCCTTTTACTCTCAGTAGGAAGCTATTGCAAGGTGGGGTAGGCAGGATTCTAAAGATGCCCCCCCCCCCAAAGATTCTTGTCCCCTGGTTATTCAGTCCAACACTAATCTAGGGACTGCTATGAAGGGATTTTGCAGATGTAATTAAAATCCCAAGTCAGTTGGCCTTGAGATATGGAGGTTATCTGGGTATGCCTGACTCAGTCAGGTGAAACCTTTAAAGCAGAGCATTTTTCCCAGCTGTAACAGAAGGGGAAGTCAGAGAGATTCAAAACATGGAAAGATTCAGTGCACTGTTGCTGGCTTTGAAGATGGAGGGGGCCACATGACAAGGAATGCCAGCATCTTCTGGAAGCTGAGTCTTGCCCTTGGCTGACAGCCAGCAAGGAAATGGGGACCTCAGATCTACAACCGCAAGGAACTGCATTCTGCCGCTGATCTGAATAAGCTTAGAATTGGATTCTTTCCGAGATCTTCCGTATAAGAGCACACCTTGATTTAGGCCTTGTGAGACCCTAAGCAGAGAATTCAGCTAAGCCTGCCTTGATTCTGAGCTATAGAACTATGAGATAATAAACGGCTTTTGTTTTACACTGCCAAGTTGGCGGCAATTTGTAACAAAGCAATGGAAACCGAAAGCAAGGTTTTGAGAGAAGAGTGATACGATTATATTTAAAACTGGGGGCTGCAAACTACAGCCTGCAGGCTAAGTGCAGTCCGCTGCCTGGTTTTGTATGGCCCAGCTAAGAATAGTTTCTACAGATAAACATTTGCAACCAACTGACTTTAAACCCCAATTAAGCAAAATGTCCCTTAAAATTTTTTTTCTCATTGGTAGACCTGCATTACAAAAAAAAATTGTACTTAGTTATTACTATGTTTTTAATTTTATCAACAAAAAATCATGGAAATTTGTTTTCTCTCCTGTACCTACGTAATGTCCTTGATTTTGCTTCTTTGCCTGCAACGCCAAAATATTTGCTATCTGTCCCTCTAAGGAAAAGCTTGCTGACTCTTGTTTTAAAGGATTTCTTTTACTGCTGTGTTGAAGGTAGACTATGGGGGGTAAGGGAGAAAGCAGAGAGACCTGTTGGGAAGCTATTGCAGTAGTCCAGGTAAGAGATGATATAGTAGCTTGGACCAGGGTGGTAACCTTGGTTATGGATCAGACCATTGTGATCCACAGGGTTTTCACTGGCTGATTTTTTGAAGTAGATCACCAGGCCTTTCTTCCTAGTCTTAGTCTAGAATCTCCACTGAAACCTGTTCAGCATCATACCCATTGCTGTGGAGTCGATTCCGACTCATAGTGACCCCATAGAACAGAGTAGACCTGCCCCATAGGATTTCCAAGGAGCGCCTGGTGGAGCATCATAGCAACACACAATCCTCCACTGACAGGTGGTGCCTGCACATGAGGTGCATTGGCCTGGAGTTGAACCCTGGTCTCCCACATGGAAGGTGGAAATTCTACCTAACAGATGCAATGTGATGTGTTAGAGAATAAGAGAAATAAAAAATAACTCTAGGGACTTCAGCCTGAAGGGCCAAAGGTAGAAGGATAAGATTGCCATCACTTAGAAAGGCTGCAGGTGGAGCTCTTTTGGGAAGGAAGATCAGGAGTTCATGTTGAGATGTGTTGAGATTGAGATGTCTTTTAGACATCCAAGTGGAGATGTCTAAATGAGTGGAGTTTGGGAAAGAGGCCTGGGTTAGAGATATAAATGTGGGAATTGTACATGACATTTAGAGGCATGAGACTGGATGAGCTCACCAAGGAAGGGGGTGTAGATGCTTACTAAATGTGATGCACTTTGGTATTTTCCACTTACTTCATTTAAAAAAAAAGCTAATCTGGGCCTACTGAATTGATTTCATGACTCACTGAGTCTTGACCTCCAGTTTGAAAAACAACATCTAAAGCACTACAGGATCTGTGAATTGCGTTTACAAAATTTCCAAAAATGATGGAGAACTGCTGATGAAAACTTTGGGTAATATGCAGAGTTTTCCTATGATAAATTGATATAGCTTACTAACAGCAAAGTATAATACTCCACAAGAATCATTTTGAAGTTTCAGTGTACCGAAAAGGAATGTAAATCAAAGAAAAGTATTTTCCTAGTCATTTAATACTGGAGTTCCTCAAGACTCCAAACTAGGCTCTTTTTCCTTTTCGCTCTTTGTTCTCTCTTGAGGCGGTCTCGTCCACCCTCTTGACATCAGTTGCCTCCTGTATACTGATTACCCTTAAAATATCTCTGGTCCTGATCTCTCCTTGAAGACTCAAGTATCTAAATCCAGCTGCCTACTTGAGAATCTCAAAGATACTTAAAATTCAACATATCCAAAACCAGATTCATGATTTTGCCCTCAAAACGAGATCCCCTTCCAGTGATCTCTGTCTTAATGAATTGTACAGCGATATAATATGTTCACTTCCTAAAACTAGCAACCTAAGAGCCATTCTGTATTAAAAACTGAACTCAAGTTCTCCCCCATCAACACACACACCTATATCAGATCCTCTTCTGTGATCCCTTGGCAAATTGCTATACGATCTGTCCAGTTGGTACCCAAACTGATAGCATGCTTGGTTTTTCCTTCTCCTCACACTCCATATTAAATTCATTCTCGAGTCTCGTCTATTGTACCTGCTAGGTTTCTTTGAAATTTGGCAAATAGAACTTCTGCTGCTGGGTAGGATATAATAGGTCACAGCAAGTAATACTTGCATTACAACTAAAAAAAAATGATAAACTGTAATAATTATTTTTTAAAGACATCAGAAAGCAACAAGGACTAGATGGCTAAAATTCCATAGAGGGAAGACCTCTTCCTAAGTGATCACCAGTCATTTTATTTTCCTGGGAATAACTGCAGGCTGAGGATCAGGCTAGGCCCAAGCAGAGGAACTAACCTTAGGGAAACAGAAATCAGCAGAGCTTTTGGCAGTCATTTGGGGCCGATATGCTAGATTGGAAATCAGAAGAGGCCCAAACTCAAGACCCAAATGTAGAGTCAGCTTTCCTCATAGCACATTTACAAAGTTCATGGTGAAAGATGTCATTAGCTTCTGTAGGGCTTCTACCACAATGTTAAGAATATAGTAAATTACAAGACATTGAAAGATGTGTGAAAATAACCAACAATTAAGAGAAAAAGTAAACCTTAGAAATAGGTCAACTAATGATTCACATACAGGAATTAGTAGACAAGGACTTTATATAACTATGATATGTGTTTAAAAAAAAATAGAGGAAAAGATGGACAAAATAGATGGAAAAATACATTTCATCAGGGAATTGTAATCTGTAAGAAAGAATCAAATGGATTTTCTAGAACTGAAAAATAACATAACTGAAATTAAGAACTTAATTTGTAAGTCTGACAGCAATTGGACACAGTGGAACACAGGATTAGTGAATTTGTTCATGGCTGAAAGGTGAGTGTGATGAAGAAGGAGGCCAGAGAGATAGACAATGGTCAGATCAGATTGCAATGTCTGACTGACTATAATAAATTAAGAATGTTAATCCTGACTTCCGGGCAACATGGCACTATAGTCAGAAGCACCACGCCGTCCCTCCGCAGCAAAGATCAGAAAAACTAAGTCAAACAGAGTCACATGTGAATCCTGAAACCCTAAGCATCAAATGAAGAGATAAAGAACTCAGCCAAGCACCGAATGGAATAAGAAACTGACCGAGAACAGAGAGCAAGGAGAGATACATGCAGAGGTCCCCTATCAGCTACTATAGCACGGATCTGCCATCTTGGACTCCTGTCGGAGGTCAGCGAACAGAGGTTATGAGAAAGCAGCTTCACAGAGCTTCCAGCAGAAGACAGAACAACCGGAAACCAGCAATATAGGCTTTCTCACCACCCACCCCTCTTCACCTCTACTTAGCCGCCTCTGCTTCCTGCAGCCACAGTCTGTTGGCTGGGAAGCACCAGCTTCACCCTGGTGTCACTTGGATTC